TATTCAAAATCATATTGAATGATGTGAAAGAAAACACACACACACACACACACACATCCAGATGCTCGATTTTATAGTCTCTTCTCAACAATAACCAAGAGTGGTTCTGCAAATTAAAAGAAGAGAGACATGGTATTCTTAAGTCATTACAGATAATGAGAAGAATTGTAACTTTTACCCCCAGCATCTACCTTTTTGAGGTGAAATAAACTCATTCCCACTGTAGTGATTCGCTAAGGCCTACAACAATTTTGATTGAGGACAGAATCGATATGTACACTTTTATTAATAAAAATGTTCTGAATCTGACTTGACCTCCAATTGCTCTGCTTACCTGAAATACATCAATTTCTTTTTCTTAAACGAGAGTCCACAATCGTATCTTCAAAAATATTTTTTTGTACAAAGTTTTTCTCATGGACAAATGCCCATCCTCTGTACTTTGGCTGGAATAAAAAAAAAAATTAAGGTCATAGACTATTACAGCATCATTCCAAAAGGGCTGTTAATATTGGGAAGATCTAAAGAAAAATTGAAAAGTGTTAAGTGATTATCTTAACACTTTAAGAGTAAATTCATTTTCATGCTTGGTTAAATTCCTTAATACTAAAAATGACTTTTTAAAAATAAATAACTTCAATATTTACAAAGTGAGCATGTGAAGATGAAACAAACAACAATTTAATGTAAATTTGGGACGTGGATTTTTTTCTGAATATACATTAAATTAATATTTACAAAGTGGTAATATATGAACTAAATATGACAACTATTACAAACCAGCTCTTTTTCCTTTCTGGGAACCTGTGTAAGAGAAGTAAAATTACTCTCTGTTTTTGAGTAAAGGCACAGTCAGTGCTAATTTATGTCAAATTACTGAAGAGACACTTATACTACACCTCTTTTGCAAAATTTAAATTTTTTGGTGACAAAAACTAATTTGTTTCTAGGAAACATGAGATGGCATGTCAAGCAGAAAATCATAGTAAATTAAGATGGATGAATTCAAATAAAAACTGGGCTGAAATATTGAATAATTACCACCTTACTATTCACCAAAGTGATGTTGGCTTACATGTAAGTTGTATAATTTAATTTACTGCTTGTTATAGCCACACTAAGGTAAACAGTTGTTTTAGTATATACCAAAACACTGAGATAATGAAGCGCAAATCGATTATTTGAAGTTATCTACTTCTACAACAATTACAGTGTTTTTGGGCACAAATACTCTGCGAGTTTTTCTTAAGTGAAAAACAAAGTGCATGTAGAGTTTGAGTAAAAGATCAAAGAGTACCTTCAATGCCATCCACTGTTTTAGGATATAAATTACTAAAAATTCTTATCTTCATTTTTGTTGAGACTTTCAAATATTAAAAGTTGGGCAAAATAGAGATTTTTTGGTTCGTACAATTTTCATTTTCTCGTCATGACAATCTTTTCAGCCAGAAAGTACATTAATTATTACCTATGAGTTCAACTGGAGTTTTGAGAAATATAACAGAGGTTGCAACTGTTCACATTTGGTGTCGAGTTAAGATCAAAGAAACTTATCCGACTTTAAAGAAAAAAATCATATTGATGAGTATATCCAAACCTTTTTCACTGGAGGTGCTGCGTCCTCAGTCTCACTTGACTGCTGGCCTTTCTGTAAAATTAACATCCACCGTAAAAAATGAGTTGCAATGAACATTTTCCATAAGGATAATAATCTTTTCACTGTAAAGCCTTTTGTGGAATTTTTGATAACTATAATGGAGGTTGTCCCATAAGATATCTTAATGTGTAGAGGATTGTGTTGTATTAGAGAAATTGTTGCAGAGTTCAAGACGTCATAAAGCATAAAAATGTAGGCAATTCAGATGTACATCAATGAAAATTGTGTGGGTTCTCAGTAAGCACTTATCAGGAAACATCAAACAGTGTCTGATAAGCCCTGATAATCCAGTAAACTCAATATGAAATATGGTATGCCTTTGAGACCTTTTCCATGATTTCAAGAAACAATACACACTGTAGCCTAGCTAGTGTAAAAAGCAGCCATATGGAAGGTTAAATCATGAATTTTCTTTCTTGAAGACCTGAATTAATATGAATAAAAATATGTAACTGAACATCAGCATTGGGATGTTTTCTGGTGGTATTATTTTCTGGAAGTACATAATCATTACCTCCGAGTTCAAGTGGGATGTGGTTAAATATTTTGTAAAAATAGTTTGGTTGCTTCCTTCCATTTTGTGATAAGATGAAGTAATTTTGAATCAAACCAATGGAATTGCCATGCTCAAAAAGACATTACGTGTTAACTTGTTCTATCTTTATAATATATCTTTATAATAAACCATTCACTATTCACTATGATATGACTTGTTTATTCACTTTTAGAGAAATATTTCCTTATAATAATCAATTACCTTGTTTTTCTCCCTGAGGAAAGAAATTTCTACCTTGTTTTTTTTTAACTTTCTGGGAGATCACTTCCAAAGGTGTCTAGAAAAAATACAAAGACACCTTTATGTAATTCAACAAAAGTACAATTTATTTCTCTGATAAAAACTCCTTACCCTTTCATGCTGCTTGACCCTCCTCCAACCTCACTTTCTAAGAGGTCTCTCTCCACACAAATAATTAATAATTAACTAATTATTAAAATTCCATCCAGGGTAATGACTCTACTTTCCAATTTTACTTTAGAAACAGTGTTTCTGTACTGTGTGAAAATGTTATAAATCACATGAAAACATACCCTTTGATTTGGCTCAACTTCAGAAATTTCTTCTAGAGGAGTTTCTTCTGGAGGAGTGTCTTCTGGGAGGGACAGTCTCTATGAAGTGACAACAAACCAGAGGGGCATTTGTATCTCTTTGTATTTCATCTCTCATAAATTACACCTGTCCTGCAAGTCTCAATCTAAAATTGTTCTACTTTCACCCATCTCAGCTAAATTTGAACAAAATCTTCTACACCAGTGCCACATTTTGTGTTGGCATATAAAGATAATATCGATGCTTAAAATAAAGTTTGTTACCTCTTTTAATTCTTCATAATTTTCCTTTAAAAACTTTGAAATTTGCTGTGAAGCCTTTAAATTCTATTTTTCAAGACAGAAAAGAAATTCAATTAATGAAAGGTCTTGCAAGGAAATGATTTGCTATTATATTTGATGATAAAATTACCTCCTTTAAAATCACCACCTCCCTTTGGAACTGCTCCAGTTTTAACCTTTCAGCACTTAAATCCTGTCAGAATATGTTGTAAAAATAGTAATATTTCAGCCAATGAGTTACTGTCTGCTTAAAATTGTCTGAACAATGGCATGGTTTAACTTATCTCTTAGATCTAAAAGTAAATTGATCATTATTTCATTATCATCACAACTTAATAACACATGAGAGATACCACTGCAATTCTCTTCCAAGATAATCCACCAGTGCTTAAGAGATTAAGTAAGCTAGTGAGCCATTGATAAATGACCTCAAGAATTGGGTCAAGTTCTACAGAAATTGGATCTTGCTTGAGTTAGTAGGGAGTAAATGAGTTGAGTCAGTTTGAAAACAAAGTAGTGTTGTACCTTTTCCAACAACTTAATTTCTCGATGTAATCTTTCAATGATCTTTTTACCATCTGCAGCTTCCTGAAACATAAATTAAGTGGTTAATGGCAACACTAATCACAAGAAGAATTTCAATGTTATTTGTAATTCTAGCTCACACTCACACACACACTGCACACCCTGGGGATTTTACAATCAACATATATCACACCCTACTTTTATGTATTGAGCACCCTTACTTGTATAGCTCTTTGGCATACAAAGCTTTGCTTTCATGTCCAAATTGAGCACTCTATCTAGGATGAGTCATTGCCGTTGCAATTGCGCATGCTCGCTGGTTTACTCTAGTTTGAGCACTCTGGCATGGCTTAGACGATACCACAAAGGTTGGGTCGTTTGGGGTGACCGTCTCGGTTCTCCCCCATCCTAGCATTAGCACTGCACTGATGAGGCCCAGAAGGCCGAAACAGTACTGTCTGCAGTTAGTTATATATATATATATATTTAGTATAATTTCAGACATGAAAGCAAAGCTTTGTATGCCAAAGAGCTTAGTGCACACACACACACACATATATATATATAGTGCATATATATATATTTAAATATCTATATATGTGCACTATATATATATATATATTGAACTGATCCAGTAGAAGGATTCAAAGGATACTATGCCACCATGTGAATTTATAGATAAATGCCAGGGGAGAAACCATTCTACTCATAACTATATCTTCTAAGTTTTATCAATAACACCCTAAGATTCATTCACCTTCTTAGCACTTGTCAACTTTGCCATTAGTTGTTTTCTGGTCTCCCGTCGCAAAAAAAACATACATGACAACTGAACAACTATTTGCAAAAGTAATAACTGGATTTACCTCGAGACAAGGCTGATCCTGAGTGTCCTGTGACCAGGAGGTCATTCCTCTTCATTTTCTCTTACTATACTGTTAATTATAATACTAACAGTAAAAGCCACACTTGTCATGTGGAAGCCCAAAAACTCAAAACAATTTTGCATCAACTTACCAAACAAGGAGATGCACCATCCTTTTCCACAGCTCCCTGCTGAAAAAAAAAACTTAATTTAAGATTTTCATACTTAACATCTTTACAGCATATAAGAAAATTTGGGCCATCAATCGTTGAATATAGGATTTCAAGAGAGAACAAAATAGACAAGATTTTGAAGAACTGATGCAAGAAACTTATCTAAGATTTTGTATCATCGATTACGCGTTGACCATGTTGTCAATCTGAGCAAGTGCAGCAACTATAAGGTGTAATGAAATAACTGTTAACAGTATTAATATGTCACCTTTTCACCAGGGCGGATGTTGGTTGCCAACCAGCTAGTTAGCATGTTGTCAATTTTGCACTGGTCTTCATTCTTTAAAGGGTCGAACCCCTTTAAAAAACTAAAGGAAGACCCGGATAGTTGCTTCCTCATCCGTTGCTTGCTGGAGGACGGAGGAACAAGTTCTCCATCCTCATACAATTGGCAGATCCTTACGGCCTTGTTAAAAATTGTACGAGGGAGTAAGGCAACTTTAAAGACGTTAGTAAGAACAGAGTTACCGCCATCCTGCAAAACAATCATAAAGAAATCAATTAATTACAGTCTTCCTTCTTCCAGTGCATAATGAAATATTGGAAAAGTCTACGTGAAGCGAATCTCTTGGGTTGAATAAAAAGTACGAGATTATAATCGACATCGGAACGTATTCATTTCACACAACGTTTAATAGTATTCCCCATTTGCAATGGCTGTTCGTTTTACGGTCATCTGCCGATAGCATAATTCCCAATGATTTCTTTGAGGAAAAAGGCCTTTTTCAAAATCTAAACGAAAGATCACAAGCCTTCAGTTTTGACATGCATACTAGGCCACTTTTCAATTATCATAATTGTTAAAAGGATACGACAAAAGATGGCGATTTGTATTTTCGACATCATAATATGTTTTCTAAATTCTTGACGCTCAGTTTGAAAAAGTGTGTATTACAAGGCTTTCACAGTTAGCTTAGAAGCCCTTTGAACGCAAACTTCATAAATCGCGAGGAAAGCATCATGAACATAATGCCTCGGCAATCGTACTGTGAGAAATTGCCCAGAGAAGGGAATTTGGCAAAAACCGTAAATGTTCGGTTCCTAAGCTAACGACATCGAGGCTTTAATTAACGATGTGATTGACAAGAAGAGATGGTGGCAAGGAAATATTGAGTTCATTTTCACGTTGCAACTAAACAAACAAACAGGGAAAATCGAGAGGTTTTTTTTCCCTACAAATGCACTGTCATTTTGCTTAGCGGGAATGAACATTTAAAGTCTCACCATGTAATTAAACACGGAAAATTCATGGTGGCGCCATTTAGTCTGCAGTGGTGAATACTTTAAATTCTTTGAAATTAACAATTTCTTGCACTAAAAACACTTTTGACAGAAAGGAGAAGATAGCTCCATCCGTAAGAACATATTACATCAAATTCTCGCTCCCTCATACCTACAATTCCATCTTTCTGTTGAATTAAAAATTTCTTTGAGAGATCATATCAGAAAAAAAAAGTTAGAAAATGGGACCAGCTCCAGGCACTTGAAAATAAAGACAGAAATCGCGATTCGCACGAAAAAAATAATACGTGATGGAGGCAAGAAGACAAGGAAAGAGAATTCTACAAACGTAAACGTTCTCCGTGAACAATTTCAGCCTTGCACAAGAAAGAGCTGCCCCAGTTTTTGAGAATGAGAGGAGAGATAGAAATGTCGAAGACCCTCTCTTGAATTATAATATAAAGTCTCCTGACAACGTTTTAAATAAAACTAAAAATCTTACCGTTGAAGAAATATTGTATTTCCTCAAAATGTATATACGCATGGCAGAGGCCTCATCCTCAGTCTGTGGTGGGACTGTCCCTGCTTTCTTTGAATTCCTCCAGTACACAACGAGCTTCCGCTATCGCCTCTGCAAAGCGAGGCAGTTCCAGCGAGGTTTCACTTATAACTTCTTCATTCTTGCGCATTTTCTTCTCTTCATTTATTTTTCTCAGCACCATCTGGCGTCCCGAGCGATCGCCCGCCTGCCTCCTTTTACGCTTTGATTTTGTTTTCTTTTCCGTCTTCTCTTCTACTCCCTCCACTCCCACTGCTCTTTCCTCTTCATCACTGTCCGTTTCAGACACATGCTCTTCGGCAAGATCCATCATTTCATTGAAATCTTCCTCCAAAAATGGCGAGAATTTTGGCAAGTGGGCCATTTTTCTACAAGTGTAGCCTTTGCAGAACAATAGCGAGCACAACCAAGGTCACAGTCAATCATTCACAAAAGTCTTATTATGATTGGTCGCAACGGCTAAAAAGCGTGTTTTGAAACAAGATAAACTGGTTTCAGCCAGGATCTTGCTGTACGCTGTTTTTTCCTCCAAGTGATAGAGGTTAAGCTACAAACTGTGAAAATGAGTAGGGAAATCGAGACAGACGACGATTTTGAGGTAATTAATATATTTCAAACTATGTGGGATTGTTATGAATACGGTTTTAATCCTAACATTAATAAACGACAGATTGACGAAGACAAGATACGACCAGAAGAAGTTAGTGCCGCGAATAGCGCGCTTGAAAAACTAGAAGTTGATTCCTTACAGGTGTGTATCATCATATCAAAAAAGTTCTTTTTTTCACAATTAGAGCGTGAGCTTTTTGTCTCGTGTTAAATGTTTACTTTCTTCTAATTCCAGTTCAATAATGAGGTGAATGAAGTGGACGGTAGTCCATTTCATTTCATTGAATCAGATCATACCACCTTTTGGAAGGACAAAACGGGTAAAAAAAATTCAGGTTAGTCTTTTCCTCGTAATAAGAATTTCGGGTAAATCACCACTACAATTTTCACACTCTTATAAACGGTACGGGGAGTGAATCGTATAAAATATAACTTATAGTTTAGAAAAGATTAACAATCGTTTGAGCGCTCACATACTTTGCCTTTGTTTCTAGAAGGAAATCATCCTTATCACGCCAACTGCTAAACTGCTCTTTTGTTTCTGTAGTATCAAAAATTGTGTTTAGCCGCCTTAATTTAACATATTTCTATCAAGAAAAGTTCAAACTGAACCTTGGTATACTGGCTGTAATAAAGCCAGCCTTTTACTATACGCTTCCCGACTTCGGGTTACGCTTGACAAAGATTAATAATCGTTTTAGCTGACACGTGGATTACCTTTACCGCTTAATCGCTCAAGGGCGCGTGACAAATAACTAGACACTAAGTATTGTACTCAACATACCAGAACCACTCATTTATATCATTGCGTTTCCCTTTTCAGCAGAAAAAGGGAAAGGAAGATAATAAAGGAAAACGTGGGTATTGACGCTATGTTATCACTTTTTTTTCTAATAAAAACCTTGTATCAGAGTATGAACTTTCAATTGGTCTCCAAACACTCCGTCCAAACCCACGCACAATTCAAGAATACTTACTTTAAAAAGAAAGAAAGTTCCAGAGAAATTTTTTTTTAAAATTTTCAAAGAAGTTTTATCAATGCATCAATCGTATGTTACTACTTTTGGAACATAGGTACATTACTGAATGTAGAAAGAAAAACAGAGGCTTACACTGTGGTGCGCGCTATTGAAAGAGGTTGTTGTAAGAAGTGTTTGGGTGGCGTACCAGTGCGTGTTGTTATTAAAAAAAAGGAAAGAATTATGGTCGAAGACCATCAACGAAAGAGATGAAGTTATAACCACAGCTATCTCTGGCATAAATGATGGCTTTCTACGTCTGAAAGAGATACGGGGAAGCATTTGTGCAAAGGCATGGTGTACGGTCCAAGGGCTATCCATGTCCAGGTGAACAATTTACCATTGTTTTTCGCAAAGTATATCATTGGCGGTGTTGTTATTTGCAAACTTTGCTGTGAATATGAAAACTATTATTCTTCGCCTCTTTCTCACAGGTGCATCATTATAGTAAATTGCTTGCCCCAATGGAACATTAGACATCCTTGTCTATAAGACATGATACTATTTTTTCGTCTGATATTGTTCCGCAAGACCCAGCTTGGCTGCTTGATCATTTAACTCTCACGCACATATCTTTTTTTGACATTATATTTATCATTACAAAATACATCAGCTGAGGAAGATTTTCAACTTTTTTTTTCATTTGTTTCAGTTACTACGAGCGATTGAATAAAGGACGCCGATATTCTGAAACACCCCAACAAAGAAGAAAATCTATCGCGTTTGACATGGCGTTGGAGTGGTTCAGGGGATTTTCCAAATATGCAGACCAATTGCCAAACACGTCGTCAAGGCCATTGCCTTCGTGCTTGACCAAGAATGCTGTATATATGCTTTATAAGGAGGAAATGGGGGAAAACCCCACACTTTCAAGGGTACATTTTCTATACAAAATGTGGAAAGTGAACTTCGCAGACGTCTACATACCAAAGGTATGGACAATTGTTGATGATTAAACCGACTGCCGGAAATGACAGTCATATTTAATTGACTAAAGTACCGTTGTCCTTTTCAGAATAAACTGACGATTTGAAAAATTGTCTTACTTCCTTGCTTTGCAGCAAAGTCGGTTTACAAAATGCAGTATTTGCGTACAGTTAATGATTGAATTAAGTAAACCACAAGTACGAGAAAAAAGAGAGCAATTGAGGATGATGAGGAAACTTCATCTTACTCAGCAAATGTAAGTTATATTACACATTTATTTAACATTGATAACATTTAACATTGATAACAACACCAACAGTCTATTCCAGACCATGCCCAGTAGATTAAAACCTCGATGAGG